AGCGGGAGCAGTTATTAGATGATTTCCCCCCTTAAAAAAAGGCGGGTATACGACACCCGCGATAAGAGGAGGGGTGGTGTCAAATGACTGACGACTTTTATAAAATGTTCTTCTTTCCACAGGTCTTGATTCCAAAAGACTTAGCTCAAGACATGTCTAAGAAAGTGGCGGCATTCTCAAAATTGGCTGACTCGGACTCCGAACCCAATAGCGACGAGGAGGAACAAAGCGTCGAACCCCCAATGTTACCGATAACACTCACTTGGCCGAAACACAAGTTGAAAATAACTATTTTGTCTGATAGCGAATTTTTATAAAGAACTTATATTCAGTTTTGTTAAAGGTAATCCTTACTATTATAAATCCGAAAGTGAGTTTGTTTGTTTGTTCCACTTTCACGCCGTAACTACTAAACCGATTGCTTTGAATTTTTGCAGACATAAAGTTAGAAGTCCGGATTAAATAATAGGGTACTTTTTATCCCGGAAAATTTTGATATTCCCGAGGGAAAACAAAAGTATTGGTATAGATGGCGCTGTGTGTATTGGTATATGTCACATAGGCTACTTTTATCATTTTGTGACGCGAGCGAAGCCGCGGGTAAAAGCTAGTTATAAGATAAAATAAATAATTTGTTGTTTATCACATCGTCACATCAACAACCTATAATTGGGATGATGACAGGGTATGGAAATTAAAAATCTAATTAGTCCGTCAGTTAGGTAATGAAAAAATATTAGACACGTATTTTTTTATTTTCTCGTATAATAAAACGATACTTAGATATTCGTCATTTCTACGTATAAAACGTACATAGAAGTGACGTCACGCGACATTTCAAATCAATATATCGTCGAAAGTATTCGTTTCTGTAAGAAATTAAAAAATACGTGAATTAAGAAATTTAAAAAAATGTACTGATTTCAAATAATCTACCAGACGGACATTAAAATAAAAAATTAGGCATCATTTCATACCCTGTCATCCCCCCAATTGTAAGTTGTACTTATCGTGCCTTCTCTGTCATTTTACAAAGAATTTGTAGCGACAGAACTATACTTAAGCTCGCCTTTGAGTCTTTCAGTATTTGTGCGTAATTATTTTTAGAATCTCATAAATATCATATTTTTCGGCATTACTGTATCATTAACTAAGAATCGCGGGTTACTCACGTGAATATACTGAGAAAAGCTCTGCTACCCGCTCCGCTGGTGAACGTACCATGCATTCAACATCGTCCAGCGCAAGCGAGCAAGTGAAGCTAACGCTTGTAGTGTCCGGCAGAGGGCGCGGCGGGCTCGCAGCGCAAGTAGCAACACCGAGGCGAACGCCAACGCTAGCCAGTAGGCTGTAGACATCGCTGCGACCGCGCACGCGAAGATCCCCTCTATGGTTCGAAACTAGTAGAGCTTTTCTCAGTATATTCACGTGAGTAACTCGCGATTTTTAGTTAATTTAGTATGTCTCACGATAGTTATTATTAAACGTAACTGTGCCATCTATGTAAATTGTAAAATAAAAAAACGTTTTAGGCTATGTAATAAAATATCTAATTTTCAACTGCTAGAACAAAAGTAGGGAGTTGTTTATAAATGGATACTTTTCTTAATAAAAAATAAATTATTTCGACTGTTCAATACAATGAAATTTTAAAAATGATCACACTTTCATTAATTGATTTTATGACCAACTTCATTTTAGTAATTTCCCAGCATTTTTTAAACAAATAACTACGCTGTTTGACGCTAAAAAAACGTGACGTCACAATACACAATCTCGTACAAAATTCATAGAAAACTGTCGTTTTTGACAGTTCGTAAAAGTGTTGAATTTGACTAGTTGGCAAGGACACGATTTCAGTAAAAGGTACGATCCTGGGAGGTTGTTAATATTTTACTAATAGTACTGTATAATGTAAAATTAATAACAAATACATAATAATGAATTTGTATGTGTATATAAGATGTATAAAGTTATTTACTAACTAATGAAAATAAATACCTACATACAATTTATGACTATATTTTTTTTAACCAACTTCACAATAAGTCTCATTTCCTTAAGTCCCAGTTCCAAATTCCCTATACTAGATAAAGAAAGACTTAATTAATAAATACCATCCGTAAATTACATGAGTACAATAATTATCTATCCTACCAATTTTAAATGTTGTTGTGCCCGGCAGGGTCCGTAATTGGGTACTTTCCTTAATCTAAAATGAATTATTTCGACTGTTCAATACAACAAAACATTTAAATAAAACACGATTGTTTTGATTGATTTTATGACCAACTTATTTTTAGTATTTTTTCAGCAAATTTTTAAGAAAAATACAATCAGAAAAAAAAATGGTTGCCTGTAAAGTCGTTTTTACGGGCGCAGATTTTACGTGGCAACGTCTTTTTCTCGGTAGAATATTTATTGATATGAATATAATTAAATTGCACAATAGGAACAAGGAATTGAATGAACTAGTGCTGCGCGCGCGGCAGACCGATCATAGTTGAGTGGGAGAGAGACGCAAGGCATTCGGCGGGCCTCTCTCTCGTTCGGTGACTCATCGTAACGTTACCGAGCGTTACACTTTTTCATAAGTGACTCCCAGCCGCAACCTAATTTAAGACGTTGTCACGTCAAAATTCATAGAAAACTGTCGATTTCGACAGTTCGATAAAAGTATTGAATTTGACTAGTTGGCAAGTACCCAATTGTTACCATTGAATTTTCTAACTACCTGTAACCTGTGGAGAACCTAACGGGTAACCGGGGCTCCGGCTCGACGTGCAGGAGAAGGAACGGGGTGGTTTTTAGTCAGTAAGAGTCTGACACTCCCTTCCGCCTCACCCGGGCGGGAGCAGTCATTCGATGATTTTCCCCCCTTAAAAAAGTGTGTGCATAATGGATGCAATAAATAAGTAGGTACTTAATAAGGACAAAATTCTCAATTCGTCAGTATATTCTTTAAGATTCAACTGTGGATGGCATTTTAAGATTTTTCTATACTAATAAAGATTAGTAGTCCTATCTAGTATGTCTTACGGTTAGCCTGATGGTAAGCGTGCACCTTAACAAAATTAATACATATTTTTTGCGATTGCAAAAGATTGAGGATCCTATAACTTGCTGACAAAATTAACATCAATAGTCCGTTCTGTGCTAGTAGAGTAGTAAAGTGCTAGCTGTACTTTAAACAGATTTGCCAAAGAAACGCAAATCAAAAAGCTTTATGTGTCGTTATTTTTAATGTGAGAAACTCAAATCAAACAATCTTGGGGCACCGCACGCCGTGACCAGCCGACTAACTGCTGTGCAACGTTTTAGGGTTTCAAGTCTACGTTTGATGTGTATTTATGTATTTGTAATTTTAAAACAGCATAATATGTCAAAACTTCTTTACCTTATTTACTTCTTTGATGAATGATAATAATCTTTTGACCATGAGGTCAAAAGACCATTATTCATGGTAGGACCAACAAAAAAAACGTTTCTGTCGACGTAACGTCAAACTATTTTTAGGTTATGAAAAATAACCAATCTTTGACAACCCGTTAACGCGTCCCGTCGCGACATAGTTGCAAATAACTAACCGTTGTTGTAACTAATTGATATTGTTACCTAATATAAAAACAGTTGGTGCTTGTGTTGTGTTTTATCGTTATTTTTATGAAAATGCGAAAGAACAATTCACAACTTTGGAGCTATTTTGATAAGGAACCTAATAAAAAGACAGCTATATGTCGATATTGTAATAAATCGTATTCATATGTATCTACAACGGCCAATTTGAAGGGACATTTGAGGCATTGTCATCCAGATGTTTTTGGAAGAATTGACTGGGCACCCAAGACGGGAGATAACGAAGGTAAATCATACATACCGTTATTGGGTACGATACAGTTCTCGTTATAACAGTTATCAATGACAAAACAAGTGCATGGTCTTTTTATAGTATAGTTATCGCTATAATACCGTTTTATTTACGATAACTTAAATATGATTGTTATTTAAATACGTTTTATTAGGTTAGAGTGGTAGCGTGTAATGCTGAATTAATGAATTTTGAATTCTAAAATTGAAAAGGATAAAGTTGACAGTTGAAAAATAACAGAGTTGTTGATGGATTTAAACCTAAATTTGGATTTCATATTAAACGAACAAAAGTTTATCTATGCAATTTAATCCGAATAAGACGATTTCGTGCAATAAATATGTGTTATGTATTCTTTTTGTAATCCTCCTTCGATATTATTATCCTAGCATTAAAATTCGCAGTGTTTATTTAGTCGTAACAGTAAGAAGTTTTCTTAATTAATGTAGGTAGGTAGGTACTTAAGTTGTGGATGATTTATTTATTTATTTTTAAACAGTCACAACGGCAGAAAATCCAATTAGGTACAGTAACTGACATATTTATACAACAATAAAACATAAACAAAACAAAAGTAAAACTAAGTTAAAACAAGAGTTATCACTATTCATAAATTTCTCTCGCAGTACCTACTTCAAGTATTCTAATAAAATCTCCTTCCATCCGTCCGCAAACAGATCACTAGTTGGATTGGAATCCAGGAGATCATTAAGCGCGACCAGAGTGCGAAGAATAGGTGAATTAGCGCATACGACGATACGACATGAGGGCACGGCAAACAGCCTGTGCTTTTAAACAAGTATAATTAGGTAAAGAAATAATTCTACTAAAGAAAAAATTCCGCGATTGGCACAGTGGTTGGAAAAAACATACAGACAAACTTCTGCCTCTTTAGGCTGTCGGTTATGCGCGGTTGGTACAGTGGCTAGGCGAATAACTTAACTTCTGTACAACGTGTCATGCAGATTCTTTGAGTGATTCTCAAATAGGTAGATAGTTGATTGCACGATTGGTGCAGTGGCTGGGCAACCGGCTGCCGTGCAACGTGTCACGGGATCCATTCCCGCGCGGAACAACACTTTGTGTGATCCACAAATTGTTGTTCCGGGTCTAAGTGATGTGTATGTGAACTTGTATGTTTGTATGTAAACGCACACACGACACAGGAGAAGACCCTAGTGTGGGGCATGGTATAAAAAAATGCTTTTTATATGGCATGATTTGTATGTGAATTTGTATGGGGTGACGAAGACTGTTTATGATGCGGACCTTTTTTCTTTTGATAAAACTAGCGACCTGCTCTTGCTTCTCACGGGTGCAATAGGCAAGTATAATACATATAAAACTTCCATCTATTTAAAAAAACCGCATCAAATTCCGTTGCGTAGTTCTAAAGATCTAACCATACATAGGGACAGACAGACTGCGGATAGCGACTTTGTTTTACTATTTAGTGATGTAGTGATATAACAAGAGATTTTAAATCTAAGGAGATTATGCCACACTCATCGTGACTTTGAGAATTATCGGAGTAGCGAGAAATATTAGGATCTGTCCAAACTACATATACACTCATAGATCTTAACAGCACCGTCACAGTATGGATTAGACAGAATGGACTGAAAAGCGCCTATCTCTTCAGCATTAATGTTCGATTGGATAGTTTCCAGGGTAAGAAAATTAAAAATCAAAATAGTCCGTCAGTTAGATAATGAAAAAGTATTAGATACGTATATTTTTATTTTCTCGTATAAAGTTACAATACTCAGATAAAATGGGAGTTAAGTTTAGGAATAGGAGGTAGTTACGTCACAACGTGCTACATTTTGTTGCACGCTGTGACGTCACACGACATTTCAAATAATTATATCGTCGAAATAAATAAATTTTGTGAGAAAAAGAAAAAATACACGTCAAAATTTTTAAAATAATCTACCAGACGGACATTAAAATAAAATTTAGGAAACTACCCTACTCTTAAATTAATATTCGTCTCTCTCTTTTATATCGGACACATTTCAGCAACAAGTGTTGGACATCTTCAACAAGTCCGTATGCATCACAGTTTGGACTGCTTGTTTTTCTTATTAGGAAACCGAACTTCTACGACTGTCAGGCAAGGGGTTCGGATTCCCAGGTCGGGAAAAGTAACAGTAAAAAACCCAGTAAGGTTTTAAAAAAAATCTCAGTATGGAGTCTGGAATTATGCCCGGTATATGGCAAAAGGCTCACCCCCTATTACATGGGACTCATGACATAAATAGTGAAAAGTTGGTGTTACATTGTACAGTGGCACAGCTGCCTACCCCTTCGGGGTTAAAAGGCGTGATGATGTTATGGAAGCGAGTTTGTCAAGAGGACCTAAACCTATGCGAACCTAAGCTTTAGTTTAACTAGTGTAGGTACCCATACAGAATATAACGTATTTTCGTTTTAATAGGTATTAAGTAGGCTACGTTTATCAACCGACTTCATTTTAGAAAATTGAAACAAAAAAAAATGTATTCTAAAATTTATATTCTACGGCTACGCGGACAACAGCTAGTTGCGACTAAATTACCCATTCATGCCATAGGCTCGAACATTTTTTTGTTCTTTAGTCAAAAACATAACCTCAAAGTTTACAACTTCATTTACCATAACTTTATTAATGTTATTTTTTTATTAATAGTTCATCAATGGAAAAGAACTTGTAATAATAGCAAATATTATATTTTATACCAGTAGATAACACATAATATAATAACAAACTATAATTTAGGTATGGTTACGTACGATACGACTTCACAAGTCAATGTGATTGTGCACTCCACTTACCACAACCACAACGTCCACAACTACCTAGCTTGATAAACAAGTCAAATATACCAGCGTAACTTGAACCCTCTCGCTGGTTCTACTTTGGAAGACATTCTAATAAAAATTGTCAAAACTAGCTTCTTGAACGGCTCATAAGATTCCAATTAGCGATTGATTTACTCAATATAAGTTGTGTCGCAGAAAATTACTTATTTTATTATTTGTTTCTGAGAAAAATGAAGGAATTTTTAGGATTACTTTATTGTTTTGCTATATTTCCTCGCGTATCGAGTATTAATGGATGATATAGTTCGACATGAAAATACTAGATGGCGTTAGCAGTACGGAAAGTAAAATGAAAACTTTAGAAAGTATTTTTTGGTTTCCGAGAGATTTTTCGATGTATCTTTTCATTGAATGTTGTTACTGATTGTTATCGTTATCTTCAATCAGCATTGAAGTTACTGGAATTAACGATACTAAAACTTTGGATCATATTTCGCAACTCATCGACGTCACAAAATTGACATGCTTTTCAATCGTTCGTATGCGAAAGGCTTGACGAAGGAATCAAATGGAAGGATTATTCCTTTACAAATTGCTATTTTAACTAACTACAAAGGTCATCAACACACAATATCAATTCCATAGACTAAATCTTTTGTCGACATCACTGCAAATCGTGGTCACAGAGCTGCAAACTTAACAGAAGCGGTGGAGAAAAACGGAACTAATCACTATCCATACAAAGTTGTAAACAAAAGTTTGGGTTTGCGAAGACACTAGCGCCACGAGTCAACTGCAAAGTTACGTTTGTGACCTTAAACGCAATGTCAGAGGTGGGGGAAGGCAGTTTGCTGTTAGACAAAAAAAAAATTCGCACAACTAGTTTTGTTAGACACGTTGTAACCTTAGTTGTGACGACAGAGATGAATACATTGATCACCACCATCTCTACTCATCTCGCGGGTGTCATAATTATACCCGTAACCGGACTAGGAGAATACAGAGATCGGACAGCAGCGCTCTTTGATAAACCTGAACCTTTTTATCGAGATCTCTAACTCGCAGGTGACCCTTGGAGAAGGCAAATTTGTTTTTATTTAAATTAAAAGAAAGTCATAATCCAGCAGTGACCTGTCATGGCCACAGGCGGATGCAAGTTGCAGCAGACCGAAGGTTTATCAGAGAACCCCGGGGGTCTTTGTCTTTGTAGAGTTCCTTAATCACCTCTTTGGCCATTCACAGAAATAGTAGAGGTAGTATATCCTTTGTAATCACCATATAGCTATAAGTTATGGGTACAAAACCATAAAACTATAATAATAAATGAATCTACATCCTTCGTTGCTCAACTATGGCGCATTCATGTCCGTCCTATTTGTCTAGCTAATCTATGGTACAGGTTGTATCCAAGGTCACATTATTGCGTGTTCCTAAAAAAACTTAATTCAAATTGAGAAACGCAAAATAATTATGGCGGCTAAGCTCGTGCTGTCTCGTTTACTCTTATGGAAATTGTAGTGGCATAGAAAGAGAAAGGTTGTTGTTGCATAGACTTCATTTAGATCTAGTTAAATAAAAAAACTTGCGTTGCGAATTTTTTTCTCTACGTTGCTACCATGGATTTTATTTGTTTGTAGCGAGAGCTCTAGAGGCAAATAAAAATCTAGTTTTTATCCGTTGAATAAACAAAATATTATTCAATTTCTAAAGATTCTCAGTAGTGTGTATTTGCACGAAATTTGAACAGGTATCTGGTATCACGAAATCTGGTATCCAACGACAATAGGCTCACCCCCTATTACATAGGACTCATGACATAAATAGTGAAAATTGGGTGTTATAATTATTGTATATTATTATGTGCACTTATTTATTATGTAAAGATGATTTAATATATTATGATGGCCTTATAATTAATAATAAACATCATTAATTATATTTGAATAAGGCTAAAGGACAATAATAATGTCTGACCTCCTAAAATATCCTTGGAAAGGCCGTATGAAGGTGATTCAATGTTTAATTCCTTGTTGTTTGTAGGTCCATGGTCCATGCAAGTATACAAGTGGTACTTTCAAGAATATTGCTATATATTATTGTATACTAGCGTCCCGCCCCGGCTTCGTACGGGTGCAATATACATGTATTATACATATAAATCTTCCTTAAGAATCACTCTAATTAATAAA